ATATAGTAAGCAGGATGAGAAGTGCTAAATCTCAGACACAAAACACTTACACAGACACATGATAATTGGTGTGGATACAAAGAAATTTTTTTCGTTTATCTAATGTGGATAACCAACCTATACTTTTTATAATTTTGCAGGCAATTTTTTACATAAATATTTGTCTGTAGCATTACTCATGCACTATAGGTGCTAATTTATTATTTCATAATAACACAACCTACAGAATCTACAAATAAGGGTATAATTTATGATCACCTGTATGGTCAGTCGAGTCTTGATTAATTCAAGGGGATAGGTGCATAAAGTGGAGCTGACTCCAGCACATGCCCCTGCAACTAGTGATGCAGGAATTGGAATTTTTTGCTGCTCGCCAGGCTTGGATGATAACTTCTTATTAACAGTGTCATAAACAAAAAGCTGCAGAGAAAGTAACCCCAATATCAGACTAAATTCCTGAAGAGTAGTTACCTCCCAATGTGCAATGAATGTAAACCAACTGGCCCCATTTTATCCTCTAATATAAAAAATGATCTACATCCCACTGAGTTGACATGCAAATTGAACTTTACCAAACATCAATAAAACAGAATTGTCTCTCTCCTTTGATTCATAGATGAACTTGCTCTTTGTGGAGCACAAGTGGAAAGAAAGGAACATAGATGCCCTCTCCACTTGCAGCAGCAGTGACCAGACAAAACCTTTCTGATCACAGAAGACAACAAATGGGATGAACAGGGCAATATTTAAATAGGTTATTATGAAGAACCAAAAAATGTTTCCTTTTCTTTCTTTTTTCCTTCCCATTTTTTAAACAGTAAAACTTAGGTGTTGCCAATGGAACAACCATCGTGAAACCATCATGTCAGTATTAAATGTTCACATAGAGCAAAAATGAACTGAGAACTCAATCATTTACTATGAACACTAAAAGATGCTCAAAACAGATCTAAAGAAAGTTTTTTCAAGATGCCAACTTGACAAAATTACAAATTGAACAAAAATTTTTAACTGCGAGGACTGAGAACTTCCAAAGATTGGTATAGAGTCGATCAAATCAGAAGGTGACAAGTTAATAACAATTTGAAAAATAATTCTAATACTAGATGAAGTACAACAGAATGCTAAATATGTGGTAGGTAGGCACATGCTGATGTTTTCTGGCTGGCTTGAACTGTAAGAAAGGTCGAAAGTAAGAAACTGAAATATATAATTTTTCATAACATCAGAACAGGACTGTTTATTTCATCATTCAGTTAGAACAGTTAACACTGAGGATGGCAATGAGCCAGGTGGGACCAGACCGATTATTATTTATATAATTATATTAGTACAACATTCAGACAAGTACAAAAATATATATAACTTTGATTTTTAGCAATTCCTTTTGTTTTTTTTTAAAGTGAGTCAGGATAGATAATCTTTTTTGTTGCAGAAACTAATGACCAAGAGAATTAATACAGCGTGGTATGAATCTTAAACCCATTCCTTCTCCACCAAGGGTGGTGAATAAAACCACCTCATGTTAGCTATTCCTAGTCATAATTGCCTAACTTGGCTCCATCCAAGGTGGGGATGGCGCAGGACCTGCTTTTGTAATTGTGGGGCAATATCCATACTTATTGCCTCAACAATGAAAACTAGTTCAACTACTCTGTTAAGGAACAATGGCCTGAGTATCTGTCGAGTGCTTAAACCTGTAAGGGAACAAATCTAAACTTTCAGCTGCCAAATTCATTCAAAAAAGTAAGAGCATGGAGGACTAACAAAGACAGCAATTCAGTTCCATAACAGAAAAGAACAACTGATTTAGTTCCACAAAAAACTAATCCACATGGGTCATCCTCCCAAACAAACAGATACAAACAAACAAGACATTGACATAAAAAAAGTTGAATCTACCAAAAGATTCAACATAATAAGCAAGTACTGGCACCAAAACAGCCTTTCCGAATTAGGCTAAGTTCAGAACAAATTAAAAAATTTGTAAAAACTTTCATATACAAGTAAATGCTTAGTTCGACCATAAATATAAAAATTGAATCATATGAAATTTCACCTTAGTTTCAATTGAAATAATGGATCAAATTGGATTTGAGATGCCTTATTTTAATTCTATAAAAAGTAGCATCATTTCATAAAGAATTTTCAGATATTCTACTTGAACTTAGCGAGTGTATGCAATAAATTCCCCAAGAAATCTAAGTTTGTACCAAACATAGCCTTGACAAGCAATGGAACCTCATGATCCAACGAAATTCAGTCAGACAAGCTTGTTTTACTCAATCAAATGAATCAACAAAGCAACCATCCAAGGTTCAATCAAATAGTATCAATCAAAACCAGCCACAAGAACATATGCGAAGAGAAACTGAGAAAGGAACGAAATCCACCAAAAGTTATCAAGGAAATATATAGTACCTCAATTGCCTTACTAGGCGCAACGCGAATCACATTAACCAAATTACCTCTAAACAATCCTTTCCACCCATCAGTCTTCATAATATTATCAAACACCTGGGCGGTTGAATGCCCACTGCAACCCACCATCAAATGTGTCCTGACGGTCTCCAGTGGCGCCACTGCTGTTCTGGAAATTGCTCCCGCTATGGCCCCGCTTATCAACCTCCTCAGAGCAGGATTCGCTACCTTTATTTTCAATCTAAGACCACCCTTCTTCTTCGTCTTCTTCAGTGTCACCTCATCCGCCGGTGCACTAACAACGCGTACATCCTCCGGTGGTGATAAGTATTTCACATGCAAATCACTGTATTGTGACTTTACTCCGCTTTTGTCGCCAGAGCCTGGAGAATTTGGGGACAATCCGCATCCCATTCCCATTTGACCAACGCTTGCAAACAATCCACCTGGGTGACAATACCCATCTTGAAAGCTCCATTGGGATCCCAGATTACATATGGAGAAAAAGCCATCATTTTTGTCGTCGAACAATTGGATTCCCTTCTTACCCATGAAGAAGGTTGCGGATATGGCTCTTTTGCTAGGCCTTGATCAATACCCAGATATAATTTTTCATGGTTTTAAAAAATTGAGACAGTCAGAGAGGAGGAAGAAATCCGATTTGCGCCGAAATGGTTATCTAAAAAATCCATTTTTGGGAGGATTGAGAGATCAATGCTGATTAGGAAGAGTCATGTACGTGAGGACGCCAGATATCGCTAGAATGGATATCCCGGTAGAAAAGGCGATGAAAACTAGGAAGGAAATTTGAGAAGGCTGAAACCAAAATAAAAAAGAGAACGGGTTAGGTGAATGAATCTGTTTCTCCCCCTGAAAAATGGTGTAAAGAAAGCAAAGCAATTTATATAATAGGGCTGCTTTGTTATGGTGGACCTCTCTCTCTCTCTATTGGTGGGTGGGTTAGAATCCTGGAGGAGAGAGTTAGGTTTTTGTCTTCAGGTGAGTGAAACTGAAGACTGGTTTTCTTAGCACCAAAAAAAGAGAAAATAAAAATTGAATATTGTTTTTTAGAATTTTCTTTTCCAGGAAATGGTTTTAGATACTTTCGAGATCTTTCATAAATATATGTATATATATATTATTTTTTAAATAGATTTTTATTTTAGATACATGATCTTTTTTTTTTGAGTCCTTTTGCAGATAATTTGCCATGATTTTGGTTTTCATTTCTCATCAAGTTTCGTAGGAGCAACCGCAATTATTAGTTGTGAGGCCACATAACTAATATTTCATTTCCTAATTTTATAGAACCCTTACTATTTTTTCTTTTATAAACTATTTTATTTTCAATTTTTTGATAAGCTATTTTATTTTTAATTCCCAGAAAAATATGTTTTCTGTTTTTCTGATATGCTAGTAGTAATTTACAGTATCTATCTAAATAATTTTTTTTATCTTTTTCTCTCTAATTTTTAATTTATATTTCTAAAAATTAATTGAAATGTGTAGATTTTTTTTTATTTTTTTAAATAGCACATATGTATAGACAAATTTTAAAAATTAATAACTTTTTTTTTTTTTTTATGGAATATTGAGGTTCCATACAAAAAATTTAACCTGCTTTTTATTAACTATTATTTCCACTATAGTAATCGAAATCTCATTGGAACAAAATTTACTTTTTGGTTGATTGGGGAGGGATTCTGGTTGGGAACTTCAATTAAAAGATAACAATAAAAATTATAACTTGGGGAATAATTTCCAAGGAGAGAAGAAAACAGAGAGGGAAGATTAAAGGGAATTGTCATTTCAACAGGAGAATAAACTTTTTATTTTTATACTCACTTTTGGTCAGTTCGCGGACCCATATCAAATCATTCTATGAATTATATATATATATATATACACTATTATATGAAACCGACAAATATTTAATGAAACAGTTGAAAAGGTATGTAGACGAGTCAAGTGCATAATTGAAACATCAACCACGTGTTCATTTCAACTAATAGTGTGTAAAAAATGCCATACGACTTCCCTTCATATCAGAATCTTAGGTCAACGGAGAAACAGTGTTATACTAAAGAGGAAGTCCTATGCCAATGCAACTTTCTACTGAACATGAGAAAGTGTTGTCAGCTATAATTAAAAGCAGTCAGTATCCAGCATGCTTTAAATGATGAGAAAGCTGGTACAGAGATGTATTATTATTTATCTTAGAATTCGCTTCTTATAAATAGCACTTTGAACATAAAATGCTAAACTTATTCTCTGAAAAAATTTTAATTCCAACATACACAAACTTAGGGAAAAAAAAAAAAAAAAAGATTTATAGAATGCAAATGATAGAAGATTTATTTCAGTCTTCTATGGTGATGTAGTTAATCAAAGGTGGATATTTCTCCCTCTACCTTGACAAACCACTGTAAGACTAACCATATGATATTTCTCTAGCATCCATATGTGCGCTTGCACACACAAAGGGCCAAAAATCTTGAAAACGGTAGAATTCCAGGAGGAGAATGTAGTTGGTGCAATACTTAATAAAATAGTGGATTTGACACTGGAACCAGCTATTCCTCTTTCAAGCTACAACTTTTTAGTTAATTTATCATGTTACAAGTTTAACTTGTTGATAATGTCACTCTTATATAGAGGATGACCCGTATAGAATTTGAAATTTTTTTTTAGGTTTTGTTTTACCATAACTTAAAATTGAACATTTAGTGCTATTTTATTAAAGATATTCTGGTAACTATAAACTGATTTTAGAGTTTAAAAGATATTTTCATGATTTTTTTTTTAAAAATTATAGTAAAATAATTATTTTATTAAAAAAAAAAAAAAAGAGACTTGTAAGAAAAATGAAAAAAGATATTTTATAAAAGATAATTTTGAATTCTCATTTTTGTAAAGATGATATATACATTATTTACCATTAGATTGAGCTAATTTTGAAAAGTTTATAATACACATCTAATTTTTTATTTTGATTATTAAATTTTTTACTTTTATCATCGGATTGTTCAAAACAGCTTGTTGAAAATAAACTCAATTTTTGAGCTCTTTTTGTGAAATTATTCAAATTCCCCTCTCCTTCATTTAAACTTCTTTTGTATTAGACAATTGAATATTTGTTTGGCTATTAAAAGAGCAAGTTTTAGTTAGTATTATTTGTTGAATTTGGCTTTTATCTTGTACTAGAGAGAATCTTTGGTACCTATTTTTTTGGTATAGTGGACTTGCAGTATGAGCATTGCTTTCATAGTTTTTCCCTTTATATTGAAGGATTCTCCAAGTAGATTTGGTGTGTTTTTTTGTTTGTTTATTTTCAGCTGTTATTGTGCATATATTGCAAGGCAATTTTGATGATAATTATATGATATTGGACACTAGTGTCCTTAGTTGTGGGAAAGACTAGTCTCGGTAGTTTTCACGTTGTGTGTGTGTGAATTTCCATAACTTCGTAGGGCAAATACTTTCTTTCTGTAATTGCTTACAGGGTGCATTTTACTCATCACATTAACTTGTCAGTTTATTACAAAGATCAAAAACAGAGTTACCAGAAAAAATAACTTAAGTATGTTTGCTTTTGCATAAACATGTACAAATACGAAAAAAGTAAAATCAAAGATGCTTCTATAATAAATTTCTAATATTTTATACTGTGTAATAATTGTTTGTCATATAATCTTAAATTTTTATCATTAAAAATTATTGAATTAACATAAAATATTATAAGATAATCTGAAAACGTTGTCTACTAACTCTATAGTAGAATCCCTGAAAAGAACTATGAGTCTGCAACGTTTTAGGATTGATCTCTCAAATTCTCACATCAAACACCAGATTAATACATCTTACAGCCACAATAAGCATCACTATTGATTCTTTCCCTTCCATGTCCAGTGCATTTTATCTACTATAGTTACAGCAGTATGATGCTATTGATCTTGACATCCAAATGAAGCAATCAACAAACTAACTGCTATAAGGCGGTTCAATATCAGTGCAGCAGAAAAAAGAAAGGTAGCTTTAAACAAGCCTCGTTTATAGTTACCATATTGACTCTCCGGACTTGCACAAAATCACAATTTGCTAGAGGATAGAGATGCTGTACTGTCAAACTTTCTGACAAAAGCAATGGCGGAAAATCTGGCTCTAAACTTAGAAGCAATTTTGATTGAAAAATGTTCCAGGATTAGACCTACTTCTTGGTCGATCAAGTTAAAAATCAGACCTGAGTTGTCATCAGCCATGCTGAACGTGCAGTTGTACTTCTATTATTTCAGATGAGTATATGAAACTACAAATTAAAAAAAGCCGTCCTCTACTATTGCAAATGTTTTGAGCGGTATATCCTGGACTATCCCATAGGACCATAGCCAATGAGGAAATATTTCTGCAAATAAAGATGGGTGCTTCATCCAGTTTCGTTAA